GTTGATGATCCTCTGGCTTTGCAACTCCCCATCCAACAGCAACTTGATCTCAGGCTTACACTTGATATTTGTAGAAGAGTAGCAGGTTAATCAGACAATACTCCACGAATGCTCCAACCCTTTCAAAGTGTGACTGCGTTTACTTCTGTTCTTCAATCGTCTGAATGATATAGAAGAAGAACTACTTCGTCTGATCGATGTAAATACGACTGTATGATCACGATCAGGATTCAAATACCACAACTCTAAACTAAGTGTTTATGTGTATGTGTTCTAGAAAGATATTAGAAAAATCAACTCTGATTTTTTACAAAAATAATCTTCCTAAGGCTTTGAATAATATCTGAATAATAATGTAAAAGTTATTTTTCAACCAATGTATATGATATGGTTTATATAGAGTTTAGAATGACCTAATCCCTTTGAAAATAAGATAAAATTCGTGCATAGGATTTGGTACAATTCTAAACCAACTAGGAGAGAAATCTGAAACATGAAACTAAACTTTCCATAGGCTATCAGGACTCTTGAACCTGTTCAAAGAATTGGGAACCGGTTCAAAAATGGCAGAATGTATTTCAAGGCTAATGTTGAAAACTTGAACCTGTTCAAAGAATTGGGAACAGGTTCAAGAATGGCAGAATGATTTCTAGACGAAATTCTAATGGCTTGAACCTGTTCCAAGAATCATGAACAGGTTCAAGTCTACCAGACTTGAAATTACCGAATATGGAATGTGTCCTAACCTTTTTAGATTTCTTCCTAACATGGTGTTCTTCCTTTTCTGTGATGATCACAATTATAGCATCTTTGAACAACCTTCCAAATCCATAGTCTTCGTCGATCTTGATAACTTGCATTACAAGTAACTTAAATTACAACTAGACATGGACTTGTTATGTTTACGACAATTGCCAAAAATAATTAATATCTCACAGGTTCAATATCATGATCAGACAATGTCACCTGCAAAGCATGTTTAGGATTGGGTTTACGAATGCCATCCTTTAATCTTGTTGTCATTGGGTGTTGGTTTGAGCCATTAAAATTAGGAGTATGTGGTGAAGGAGATGAAAGAAGAGAGGAAATAACCTGTGTTGGTGAAGATTGTGCAGGTGTGAATAAGGTAGATGTGGCTTCTGTAGGGGAAGAGTGGGCAGGTGAGAATGAGGTAGATATATCATATGCAGGCATTGAAGAAGAAAAATTGGTAGGTGGAAAATCATGATTCTGTTAGAGAGAATCTTCTGGAAGTGAAGGAACAATCACAGAGGAAGTCGCTGCCACGGTTTCAAGTGAACTTGGAGAAGTTTGAGGGCCTTTGAAGGGAAAACTAGACTCATTAAACACAACATGCCGGGAAAGATAAACCCTGCCATTTTCCATATCATAACACCGGTATCCTTGATAATTCAGTGAATACCCTAAGAAAACACAATGCTTAGATCGATATGGAAGCTTATTTTTATTGTATGGCCGAAGATAAGGAAAACATGAACACCCAAAGACACGCAAGATGGAGTAATCAGGGAAACGATTAAATAACTTCTCATATGGTGTCTTGAATTGAAGTTGTTTAACAGGAATACGATTGATAAAATAAACAGCAGTGTTAAATGCTTTAACCCAAAATTCAAGAGGCATATTCGAATGTGCTAACAAGGTATGACCCATGTCAACAATGTGACGGTGCTTACGTTCAAAAGCTCCATTTTGTTCAGGTGTGTGAGGGCAAGAAACACGATGAGAAATACCATGTTCAGATAAAAAATTTTGAAATTTCGTTTCGGTATATTCTCGACCCCTATCTGTTTGAAGATATTTAATTTTGCAAGAAAGAATATTTTCAACATTAGCTTTAAACTTAATAAAATAATCAAACACTTCATGTTTGAATCGCATTGGAAAAATCCAAGAGTATTTGGAGAAATCATCAATAAAAACAAGATAATACTTGGAACTTTTTATTGAATAATGTGGAGAAGTCTAAACGTCAGAGTGAACTAATTGTAATGGTGTATCAGAAATATAATTTGATGAAAAAAAAGGTAACCGTGTGCTTTTGCCTAAAGGACAAGAATCACAAAAATTCTTGGTAAGACATCCGTGTACCAATAATTGATTATGAGACATCAAATTTTGCAAAATAGAATGAGACGGGTGTCCTAGGAGTTGGTGCCATACTGATGAAGGAACACGTTCTCCAATGAAAGCCAATGATTTGATTTGTCTATTCGAGATACGAAGAGGATAGAGTCCATGTTCACTCTTGCCGTGGAAAAGCGTCTTCTCCGTTTTTGTATCCTTCACAAAAAAACCATCAGGATAGAAAACAAAATAACAATTATTATCACGAGAAAACTGATGCACAGAGAGTAAATTGGCAGCAATAGATGGACAATGCAAAACACTATTAACTTGAAAGTTTGAAGAATGGAAATTTAGATTAGTGGAGCCAATATTGTCAATTTTTAAACCTGCACCATTGCCAACCGCAACCTGATCATCACCATGATATTCGTTGTGAAGAGACAAATTTGCAAGATCTGATGTAATGTGGCTAGTGTGGCACCACTATCGGCGATCCAAGCTTGCTCATTGGAACCTGTTTTGGTTGAGGATATCATAACAACTAATTTCTTTGTTGGAACGCGCCCTTCATATGACTGATCCATACGATGATAGCAATTTATTGCAGAATGGCCCAAGCGGTCACAAATTTGACATTTTGGTCGAGTTTGATTAGTAAAAGAATGGTCTTGTGGACTTGTAAAATCTCGTGCACTTATTTGAGAATTGGATTGTGGTTGTTGTGCTCTAAAGCTTTGTGAATTGGATTGTGAGTGTTTTGATTTGAAGCTTCCCGAGTGATTAGAAAAATTGGCATTTGTCCTTTGTTGACATGGATTACTCTTTTGGACATATAGAGCAATTGTGGATTGTTCTTGTGGCAGTATGTTCAGCGCTTAATAATAACCCAACTACATCATCAAAACAGATAGATATATCTCTTGCTAGGATTGAGTTAACAATTCCCTCGTATAGAGGGCCAACGCCGTTTAGTATTAATTCAATTAAATCATCTTCATCAACCAGCTTTCCTGCAAGAGCAAGATTGTCTGCAATACCATTTATTTTATCAACGTACTCAGTAATTGACAGATTACCTCATTTCGTTGTTTGAAGTTGATTCTTCAAATGCATTAGATGGCTTTGAGATTGAGAGGCATAACGTTTCTCAAGAGAAATCCATACAGCTCTTGAGGTGGTAAGGCGAGCCACTGTAAAAAGTATACTAGGAGATAGAGTAACGTTTATCCAACTTAGAAGAAGTTGATCTTGTTTCTGCCACGATACATAAGCAGGATCGATGTCAGAAGTTGGATTCCGTTTCTCATCTGCGATAAACATGCTGGGACAAGGCTTTGTTCCATCGACATAGCCCATTAAATCATGACTTTTGAGTATGGGAATAAATTGTGCTAGCCATATTACATAGTTGTTTCGATCAAGCTTGATCTGAACTAGCTGAGCAATATGAGGAATGACAGTGGAAGAATTTGCCATATGATCGTAAGGAATGTTGAAATCCTTAATGGAAAGACTAGAACAGAATCAAATATTCTCTATAAGAATTATATTGACGGTGAAGAAAAGAAAAAAAATATGTATTCAAGGATACCAATTGCAGGCTCTGAAACCATGAAAGACTTTGAACAAAATTGTATATTATCTTTTGGATATTTTTCTGTAACTCTAGTACATGTATTTATATACACACTTGCCTACATTGATCCCTTGACTATAGGGATACGATTGATGTAATCCCTTAATTTTAGAGATTGAATTACAAACGTAATGAGAGATTTTAGGAAGAATATATTCCAATAATCATGTTACAGCTGTTACCATATCTTTTGGTTTATCACTTCCAATAGTTTTGTCAAAATATTGTTTTGCAAAGTTTCTTGCAAAGACTTGGATACAAAAAGACCGCCAAACTCAAAGTACTATAAAATGGAGCAAATGTCTCTTGGCATAACCAATATCTTATTCTGTGTCATATTTCACATTTAATTTTTTATTTTTTTTTAAAAAGAAAGGTTTTTCATACTTGGACTTAGTTAATCCATGTTATTAGTATTATTTAACATTGACATCTTGATTTATGTAAATGATATTCCCTCCGTCTCAAATCAAGTGTCGTATTTGAGAATTGTTGCGAGTCACAATTTCCAAAGACACCCAATTTAGACCGAATGAAATAATTAAAATTGAATTAGTTACCTAATAAAGATTATTTTCTTTTATAATTGAGGTTACCCTCTCATATGTTTTTCCTCCTCCTACTTAAACCAAAAGCACAATTAAAAGTTATTCCCAACCTACATAAATACACAGACTCATTGAAAGTGTAGAAGGTTCTTTTTGATATTTTATTTAATTATAAGTGATAGTAAAAAATTAAAAATAATTCGTTTGTTTGAATGTAAAATATTTTTTAAAAAATATTTTTTTATTTTTGATGTTTGGTATTTTTTAAAAAATATCTTAAAAAATATTTTTTTATTTTTAATGTTTGGTATTTTTTTAAAAATATCTTTTTATTTTTTGATATTTGATTGTCGAAAAATATTTACAAGAAAACAAAATATTAAAATTTTTTTTTGATGAGTAACAAAATATTAAAATTTAACATTAATAACTTACTTATTAATTTTCAACAAATTATTTTACACGTCTCACCCAATGCACTTGACTTCAATCTCGATTTAAACCCTTATCAAACAAAAAAAAAAAAAAAAAAAAAAAATTTTAATTTTAATTTTTTTTTCAAGAAAAACATTTTTTTAGGACTGTTACAACTTACAACTCACAAGAATGTAATTTTCAATATTTTTAAAAATATTTATATAATGTATATCACACACGTGTACATGCAATATCCAAATCGTGTAAGGGTATATATTTTTGGGAAAGTTGGGATAGGGGTCACACACAGATTGACGAGGGTTACCTAGGGGCCCAGCAGCACGAGGAAAAGGTAGGGGAGAGTCGAGAGAGAGAACGCTAGAGCTTCGTCTAGGGTTTTGAAAATCCGAACCAATCAAAGGTTAGTGAGCGCGTAATCTCTTAATAATCTTCATCTTCTTCTTTTCTAGGTATTGTTGTTCCTCAAGAAACGGAGAAAATGGTGAGTTTCTTTTGGTATATGATGATGATGATGTTTGTGTGTGAGAAGGAGGTGTCTCTATTGTGTGCAGGAGTCGAGTGTGAGATATATATAGAGGGAGAGGTGAGATCGAGAGCAAAGAGCGACGAGGGGAGAGAAATTGAGTGTCTTGTGCAAAGAGCCACCGAAATTCTCACTTGCCTCTCGAATTTGCGAATTGGTAATTTGACCCTTGTCGAGTATGTCGGAGAGAAAGCTTGTAGTAAGTCTTGTTCTTGCCTTCATCCTCTGTACAGCTATGTTTCTATGTAAATGTTCGTTGTTATATAAATTTCACACACACAAACACATATATATTTGTGGGATATTTCTATATTTTGTAGGTTTTGGGCATCCCATGGGATGTGGATACGGATGGCTTGAAGGATTACATGAGCAAATTTGGGGAAATTGAGGATTGTATTGTGATGAAGGTGAGTCATCCTCTATGTTATAATAGCTACTCCAATGTACTGTTTATCTATATACATGAACAGTGAGTGTGCAATTTTTGGTAAAGAGGGATGAAATTAAGTTTTCATTTCATAAACCTTCTTTGTAAATAATGGAAAAATCAAGCTTTTATTCAGGTTAAATGAAAATACCAGAAACCAATATCTTTGTGCCTATCCCCCCCCCCAAAAAAAATAAAAAAGAAGAAGAAAGTAAATAGTTTTTATGCTCGTGAATTGTCTGTTCATTGATGCGATTTTATGATTACTAGATTATACTGCTGAAGAGATTACATAATATTATTTCAGTGAAGTTGCTTCTTTTCCACTGTTTAAAATTGGCCCACTAAATAAAAGGTAATCATATTCCATTATGATATGATTTAAAACATTAATTCGAGATTGTCCAAAACTAATTTATCTTCATATCCAATAGAGCCTTCATTTTCTATGTTCCGTTAGCAGTCAAATGGGGGTTCACCATTTCAGTTTTTCTTTCATTTTCCATTATAATAAATCAAAAGACATCAAGGTTCCTGATTTGTTTCCCTTCCTTGAATCAGGTTGATGTCTTAATGTGCTTTCTGTTATTATTATTATTTTTTTAATATATTGTTGATGTTGTATTTTACCTTATAAATGTTGATATACGCCATATGCTCATAAAATGATACACAACCACCCAAACCCAAATATGCTCACATTTGAAAAATCTCTATACCACCATCTACCATACTTTCTCCAGAATTGTTGTAAGGTAGAATTTGGTTAGATAAGATTCAGTTTCCTTTGTTCATTAGAAGGTTGAGGCATGCAATGCATGTTCTCAGCACATTACATTTCTTCCTCTTTTTGATTCGGTATAAGAGGGAGGAATTGAGACTGGCAGACAGGTGTGGTACACCTTTGATGGGGCAGGAGAGGGGAGGGAAAAAGAGGGGATGTGGAGACTGGAAAGAACTAAAAATAGATGTTCGATGTAGTTAACAACCTATATTAAGGTTTTAGCATATAATTTTTTTTTACCTTTTTATTTATTTATTATTATTATTATTTTCAAATTCTGAGAGCAGCAATTTTATTCAAAAAGTAAAAAAAAAAAAAAAAAAGGGTCTATAGGCAGTCCTCCCCTCCGGCATCCTTGATTAACAGGGACCATACCAGGTAAGGATAGTAACGACCACCTTTTTTTAAAAAAATAATCAAAATATGGTAGCCAATTTGGTTTTCTGTTAATGAATATCAAGTTACTGATAGGTCTGTGACTTCGACCCCCCCCCCCCCCCCCCCCCCCCCCCCCCCCAAAAAAAGAAAAAAAGAAAAAGAAAAAAAACCAAGTCATAATTGCGTTGTATATATATAATTGTATGCATACATCTGCATATCTATAATATATGTCGTACCCCTAATGTCTTTTTGTCTATGCAACATGGCTGGCTATTAATTCATCAGGACTCATAAAATATGAGTTTTATACGTTGACACCATAAGAATATCCTATTTTCTTATAAAGAGGTATTGTTGTATGTACTGCAGATCTGTATAAAAAATATATTTTCTTTGTTGTTGTGTCTTGTCCATGTCCTATCTCTTTAGGATTCTCAACGTTGACTTGTCTTTGTTATCTTGTGTTCCATCATCCATGCCCCATGTCCTTGCTTGTGCTTTGTAGCTTATTGATTTGAATCTCACACCAACGTTTAGCAAGACAGTTCCTGCTTTCTGGAGCAGTTCTATGATACAAGACTCTGGTTCTCAACATTCCCAAGTTGAGTTTTCATGCCGGGCTGCTTTCATAATACGCATGCTGTTTAATATGCAAGAACCCTACCTAATATGGGTTATGGTTTTGCTGTGTTGCCGTGATTGAGTGGTGTATATTGGGGATAGTTATAGAGTTTGAATAGGGAGTGTCCAAGGGTGAATTTCCTACTATGGAATTTGTTTTATGTTCTTTACCTCCTTGCTAGAACATGCAACCCTTTCTTTTGTAACCCCATCCTAGTTTTCTGTCAACAAATGTGTTTCATGGGTCCCTATCTTGATAGTTGCATATATTGAACTAGTGTGGACACTTCAGCTAAAAAAAATATACTTCTCATCTGTTTTTGTTTATGTTGATTTCTTTACTAAAGACATTCATTTTCTTTTTGTGCTTCCATGCTTTTAGGAACGGTCCACTGGTCGGTCTCGTGGTTTTGGATATGTAACATTTGTATCAGTTGAGGACGCTAAGGTAACTGAAATTTAGTTATTTATTTTATTACCTCAATTTCCAGCATGACGTCTCTTCATTTTCTTGAGTATTGTTTAGGTTCTGTATGAGTTTCTCTCGTCTTTGCATATTAATGTTCTCTGTGTTAACTGTTAACAGTTTGTAATTTAATCTTAGATGGAATTTTAAATTCATAACTTTCATCTGATTCTTTCGCATGACAAACATTTTCATTCTTTTTGGGTTACAGAATGCATTATCAAGTGAGCACTTCCTTGGCAAAAGAATTTTGGAAGTAAAAGTAGCAACTCCAAAGGTTCTGCTGCTAATCATATATCTGTTCTGCAATTGGCCATTTTAATTTCTAGATTTTTTGATCCTTTTGTGAATTGAAGAAACTCTGCAAAGATATTATTTTGACACTCATTGCTTTCTGCAGGAGGAGATGAGAGCACCATCAAAGAATGTCACGAGAATATTTGTGGCCAGGATCCCATCATCTGTTACAGAAGCTGACTTCCGAAGGCAATTTTTTTTTTTTTTTTTCTTTTTCTGCTAGATAGTAGCAGAATGTTTTTATGCTAAGTGACATATAGTTTTTTTGTTGTTGGGCTATAGAGGAGTTTGAACATCATGTTGTATAATTTATTTATTTATTTTGCAGTTATTTTGAGACTTATGGTGAGATAACAGATTTGTACATGCCAAAGGTTAACTCTCTCTCTCTCTCTCTCTCACACACACACACACACACACAATTGTGGCAACATATTTAAAATGTCCATTCATTCTCAAATTTGTGTTTTCTTAGGCAATGTATACTTGTGATGTAGTGGCATAATACAGTTTTGGAATTTGTTGTATTTGATGTAATTTTTACTATTTTGTAGGACCCGAGTACCAAAGGGCATCGTGGAATTGGGTTTATTACTTTTGCAAGCGCAGGTTAGGCCATTTTCAATTTTCCCCTCATATTTTTCGTCTTGCTTGATACTATTTTATGACAATCTCTTCCATGATTAGTTATAAGTGAACGAGTTACCTTGGCCTTTTTAATTAATGTTTGGTTAAAGGAGGATGTGAGCGCAAGAGAGTACATTGTGGTATTTGAAGGGGGGGCATCTTAGGGGTGCGCTGTTCTGTTTGGTTTGATATAGACGGCAAACTAAAATCAAACTATTTCTGACAAATAAATGGAACCATCTAAATTAAACCAATAACCATATAAATCCTGGATGATTTAATCGAACCAATAGCCGTATAAATCCTTGATGTGTTCAACCTTTATCCCAACCTATGTTTCTTTACTGATGAAAATTTCTTTTTTTGCCTCATCGAGAGTATATTTTTAGTTTCTAAAATTTTCTTATTGCATAGCAATGAGCAGTATGCCTACAATAAAATGTTGTTTTTTTAATGTTTAACCCATAAATGAGAATCAGAGTTAGATAAAAATTGATATAGATAATCTTGATTTAATTTGGTGCAAGTCTATTGTGACCAAGGTTACCAACCAATCAAATAATAGCAAATGTATATATGTGTGTGTGTGTGTGTGTGTGTGTCAGTATATCTGTTCAGTTTGGAATGTTTGATTCTTTTAATCTTTCACTCTAAACCATGAACCGATCTGGTCCTTTTTTAGAAATAAGAGACGTATTTCAGTTGGAAGAGTTGTTGTTATTAGGATGCTTATTAGAATGGCGGAGTTATTTTTTTTTCCTTTGATTTGGTGATGTTGAGATTCTTTTAATTAGCTTGGACTCCTACATGCTGTACTAGGATATATATATATATTTTTAATATGGTCATTTGTTTCCGGAAAAGAAATTTGTCTTTGACGTTGAAATTAATCTGCTTGTAACTTTGATTTTGATTGTTTACACAAGTACATGCTGAGCTGCATAGTAACTAAAATCGTGTTACGGGATCATAGAGTCGCACAGTCTTATTATCCAAACTTACAAAATTTATCTTGATCGTTTGAAAAATTGCTGAGGGGTAAGATAATTATGGGATAGTAGGATCATAATAGGATCGTTTGGGGATACAATTTGTGGGATAATTTGTTTCTTTTCTTATGGTAATAGAAAATGTTTTTCAAGTGGGCTGATTTCATACCTTTTATAAAAATATTTGTTTTTTTAGCATATGTAATTAATATTTGATGGATTGTGTAAAAGAATTTTTCTTTGTTTTGTTTTATTAGGAAAAAAATGCTATTGTAAATCAGACATTTTCATATAGAATAAAAGAAGAATCTAGGCTAGATCCATGTACAACCTTTTACTTGTATATTGCATTGTGTTAGGTGGTTTTACCTTCTGAGTTACGATATGTCACAAAAGAAAAGGGGGGCGGGGGGGGGGGGGGGGGGGGGGGGGGGTGGAGGATGTCACACGTTATCATGAACTTATGCATATATGCATGTAAATATGTTTTCACTCATACTTTGTACTTTATCTGTTTTAAGAATTCTATCTTTATACATATACCCTTGATGTTTTTTCTCCTTATTTTGTATAATCTTGTGATATTGATCCGATACTTTGGACCCCCAACTTGGTCCAATTTAGGATCTTGAGCTTAACAACCTTACTGTGCTGGTAAATAGAGGCTGTGATACGGGTTCAGACGAAATATGTGCGCTTTTGCGTGCAAATGTACTTAAGTTAGAAGCTATTAGCTAATTGTTGGATGCTTCATACTAATGTTTGTTTAAAATTTAAGTTATCTATTTCTGTTTTATGGTTTTGTTGCAGAATCTGTGGACAATCTAATGGCTGAAACTCATGAACTGGGGGGTTCTACCATAGTTGTTGACCGAGCAACACCCAAGGCAATTTTTTTATACACTTTTTTTGTTTTTTTTATTTATTTGCCAGCAGAAGACTTTTCTTTATTTATTTTTTAAGCTGGAATATGATTCACTGATGCGAAACCTAGAATATCTCAATAGTTCGTCTTGGATTATGAACACATTTCCAGCAATATGTTCTTGTTGAAGTTTTGGTTTTATATTTTATGTACTTTGTTCTTGATTTTTGTTGCACAATACTATATTCTCAGGAGGATGACTTCAAACCAGTAAGCCGAGTGGCACAGGGTGGATATGGTGCCTATAATGCCTATATCACCGCAGCAACTAGATATGCGGCTTTAGGTGCTCCTACCTTATATGATCATCCAGGCCTCATGTATGGAAGTAAGTACCTCTGCAAGACTGCAAGTATGGATTTGTGCACTTTTTGGGGGTAGCATTTAAGCATGCAGTTGTTTTCATTTTTCTGGTTTAGGAGGGGAAGCCACTCGAGGAATGGGCAAAAAGATTTTTGTCGGCAGGCTTTCTCAAGAGGCAACCGCTGATGATCTTCGCCAGTATTTTGGCAGATTTGGCCGTATTATAGATGCTTATGTTCCGAAGGTAAGGTAGCGGTGTTATTATGGTACAACAGATAGTTTTATTCTTTATATATGATAGACGTGAATCTTTACCTGATGTAGGATCCCAAGAGAACTGGCCACAGAGGTTTTGGTTTTGTGACCTTTGCTGAAGATGGCGTTGCAGATCGTGTGTCTCGAAGGTCTCATGAGATTTGTGGACAAAAGGTATTGATTGAATGGAGGGTTAATTGTTCTTTGTCTCAGTCATCTAGCTGCGATGCTGCTGATATTAAAATAACTTGGAAAGTTCTGCTGGAAGGATTTCTCAATGCCTGCTTTTGTTGTTATTGAACTTTCAGATTTTCATAAATGTTCATAATGCATTTGATCTAGTGTAGGTACAATCTCATCAGGGTTTGCAGATATATCATACCATTTACCCGTCGTTATTTCATCATCATCATCATCATCATCACCATCATCATCCTTGCCTTTATCCTGTACAAACAGGGTCGATGGATTCTCTTTTCCCACTCTTTTCTATCATAGGTTTATCTAGTTCTTTTCTTCGTGTGCACAAAACATTTGGGACTTGTAGAATTGTACCTTGGACCATTGGGGTTGATAGACTATTGGGGTAGATTTTGTATCTTGATACAAACGACATCTTGTTGTCTTCTTGTTCGTTTGAAAAAGTTGGTTGTTCTACACATAAAGTAGAGACATCTTAGCACAAAAGTCCACGAAAAGAGTTCAATGTTCAAAAGGCAATAGTGGGTGTGTGTGAGGTTTGGTATAATGAGAAGTCACATTTGCTCAATAGGATCACAAGGGGTGATGAGCCTAGGTAAAGACCTGAGCTGTCAGAGAGGAACCTCTAAGAGGGGTGAGGAAGAGGGCGAGGAACTATCTCGACGGTCCTTGATCAAAGTGTGTCGAGATAGTTCCTCGCCTATCTCGACGGTCCTTGATCAAAGTGTGTGAGTTTTTGGGTTAGGTTGGGTTGGTTTTGAAGCTCTTAATGCTAGTTGTTTTGGTTGTTGGATCCTTTAAAGATATTATAAGTTGTCTTTTTACTTGACTTGCTATTGACCCAAAAGGGGGATTTTTATTAATGTGGACCTTCATCATTTTCGTGAAGGGCTAGGCTACTCTTTCCTTTTCTAGGACTGGGAGGCCATTTCTCTTCCCTCGTCTAAAGAGTGGTGGTTTTGTAACAACAATGCCTTTGACAATCCTCGCGTGTCAGCCATATCAACACCATACTCCTCAAGGGATTTATTTTTTTCTCGAGGTTTATTGATAGAGAAAAACTTCTAAAGGGCCTTCGTTTCATCCTCTATCTTTATCCGTAGCGACAAAACTCCTCAAGGCATTTTCATGAGGCTTATCCGTAGAGAGGAAGTCTTCGCATAGCAAGGACAGTCCAAGGCTTATACATAGAGCCAATGTTGTTAAACGCACGCCTAGGCTCGAGGATCAAGTTTAGTGCCTGTTGTCATCCCAGGCTCATTGATGTTTACTAGGCGCGTGCCTCGGTTGCGTCTTGTCTTATTTGTGCGCCTCACTGTTTTTTTTTTTTAAATAATTATTCTATTTCTTAAGCCAAAATGGGTACTTTTGGCAATTTAATAAACTAATAAGAAAGCCTAAGCTTATAAGAGAAGGAACTTTTGTTCAAAAGAATAAACAAATAAGAAAGCCCAAGAGTCAAAGTGTCAACCGAACATAGAAAGAGAGTCTGTGAGACTAACGACAAAGCCCTAGTTGCAGAGACGAACGATAAAGCCATGTCAGTTCTTTCTTCTTCTTCTTCTCTTCTCTCTTCTCCTCTACTTCTCTCTCCTCTCATCTTTGCTTATTTCTCTCTCTTCGTCTAGTTCTCTTCTTTCTGTCTTTTTCTTTTTTTGGGGATCTGTTTTTTCTCCTTTTTCTTTACTCTCTCCCTCTCTTCATCTACTTATTTTGTCTATGCGTCTATTGTTTTTAGGGCTTTTTTTTTTTTTTTTTTCCTTTTCTTTTTAACCGTTTTTTCTTGTTTTGTTAATAGATTTATTTCTTTTTGTGCTCTGTTTTTCCATTCAAAAAAACAAATTCTGTTTTTTCTTTCAAGAAGACAAATTTGTGCTCTGTTTTATGGTTCTTTTTTCCCATGTGGGAGCCTAGAGATTGTAGTCCAACACTCCTCTGGTGAGGTCTTGGGGACATGTCCTTTTTCTGGCTTACAAAGGGTGATTTTTTACAGCAGCTTTTGCTGCAGACTTCCTTCTCGGCCGACGTCCCACATTGTTCGTGTCACTTTCCCTTTAAAGGCGGTGAACCAGCCACCTAAGATTTTGATAACTACAAAAGAAAAGCACCTAGTATTGTGTTTCTCCTTTCTCTTTCTCCTGTGCTCCTCTCACTCTCTCGCTCTCTCTCGGCAACTTACTGCTATGCCTTCGCTCACGAGAGGTCCTTAACCTCACTGATGCCTCGCACCAACGATAGAGCTGAGAATCACTTGTGGATTTTTTGTGTGTGTATATATATATATATATTAATATATCATATTATTTTTCCATTTTACAGCATTTTAATAAAGCATATATCATTTTATGTTTTAGAAAGTCCACCCTTCTTGACCATCCCCGTAGAGAGATCTTGAGGGTTTTGTTGCACGCAAAGAAATTTTCATGCTGATTTACTCTCCGACCATGGCTTTCCGACTCCGGCGATCATTGCCCAACTTGATTGCTTGTCAAGCACTCTCATTTGTGAACTTGATCGTGTCCAAAACCCTAGACGCACTACTGGTTCTAAATTCTTGATCTGCAACTCCCATCAGCAGGTTGATTAAAAAATCATTTTCCTAATTCATGAGCTGTATGGAGTGATTTTGCTATGAATCACGGACATGGGACATGATACGACACGGACACTGCAATACGGCATTATTTATTTATTTATTTTATTTTATTTTATTTTTTTTAAAAAAATAGGACACGGACACGGACACGGACACGGACACGGACACGGACACGGACACTGACACTGACACTGACACTGACACGGCATGAATACAATAATAAAATAGTTATATAGATTTTTATAGATATGGAGCGGAAATGAGGATGTTACGTTGGTTGATAGGAGCAACTAAAAAAGATAAAATAAGTAATGAGTGTGAGGGGAATAGTATTGCGCCTTTAGATGATAAAATTAAGGAAAGTAGACTTAGGTGGTGTGGCCATATTCAACATGGATCTGATGATGCACCAGTTAAAAGATGAAGAGTTAGTTTGCCCAGAAGGTAATCAACAAAGAGGCCGATTGTAAAAGCTAATCCATCATTCCAGAGATTGAAGTTTATGTCTTTTGATGCTATGGAGAATTCTCTCTATGTGGAAAGCTTTTTCTTCATATTGTGTGTGTGTTCAGTGCATATACTCTTTTGGTAACTGTGGTGATGACGAGACATTTGTTTGGGTTGGGAAATGTTACCTGCTTGGTTTGAATACCAATTCTCTTCTTGACTTGTCCAAGCATTTTGACCCACTCAACTTTTCTATCTTCTCAAATCATTCCATCTGACAGACTTATGGTTTTGGAATGTAGTTCTTGAAAACACTCACTTAAAAATACTTTTACATGCCAAACATGTGAATATTTTCAAGATTTGGGCCAGAAGAAAAAAAACTCATTTAACGTGTAAAAGGATTTTCATTGAAAATATTTTACATCTAAAATTGTTTTATGTCGAGACAAATGGAGACATAATTGCAAAACTATCCAGCTGTGTTCCAAAAGTGTTCAAACTTGTCCTACCAGGCTACCATGTACAACTTTTAGCTCTAGGATACTCTCTAGTCGCATCCCATGTGTGTCCATGACGGATACATGTCTAACACTACCATTGCACTTCCTAAAGGAGGAGTGTCCATCCTTTCTAGCTTCACGCTCTGTTTGTTTGTAAGGAAGGATTGAGGAGAAATGGAAGAGAGGAGAGATAGGAGAGGTTTGCCTTGTTTGGTTGGAAGGGAATGGAAGGACGAAGCATCCCTCCTCCTAACCGCTAATTTTTTATCTGCCCAGAATTGGGCGGAAGTGAGGAAGGAAAGAAAGAACAATTAACCTATAATTTTTTAATGCCTATTTTGACCTTCATTTATTTACCAAATGAATTATTTTACCCTTTATCTATTTTAACCCTACTGCAATTCTCTCACATGGTCAATGATCGAACTTGTGAGTTTTTCCGAAAGTGCCGAAGCAAATCCAAGAACTGCGTTCATCCTTATTCGAACTTATGTCATTACATAGACAATGCATGATTGATCAACTTAATAAGTGTATATTAGTAAAAGTATATTAGTAAAAGTATATAAAAACTCACGTTTCCTTCCTTCCAACCAAACAAAAACATATTGTCACTCCATCAATCCTTTATGCTATTCCTTCCATTCAACCAAACAAAAAAGTGTGAGACACTTTCCCTTCCCTAGGGATTGCCTCATCCATCCCTCCCCATCTCCCTTCCATTCATTTTTCCATCCTCCAACCAAACGGAGCATTAACTTGTATTATATGGGCTTGTTCATGATGTGAAACACTGGTTTATTCATTTTACTTTTTTTCTTTTTTGGGTGGGGGTTGGGAGTAGCAAATGATTATTTTTAAGCAAAAGTATATATATATATATATATATTTTCATGGTATAATATATAGAATTTGAAGTATTTTTAAGCAAAAGTAATCACTGAAATGCTGATTTGACATTGTATGCTTTATTTGTTATTCTTGCATTATAATTCATCCGGCATGGTGAAAACTTGTGGTAGAATACAACTAATTTTTTTCTTGTGTCAACTTGCTTTGCAGGTTGCAATAGATTCAGCAACACCAGTTGATGATGCTGGTACTAGTGGAAATTTCATGATGGACAATGCTGAACCATATGTTGGGGGTTACAACGGACCTATGCGTACCTATGGCAGGATGTACGGAAGTTTGGATTTTGATGATGTGAGTATAAAAAGTTAAAATATGTGACATAAGCCTTACTAGATAAGATTGCAGATTGACTGCATATTCTTGTGAGGCCTTCAGAATTCTCTTTTATCTTCTTTGGAAGGTCTGAAATGATCACTGCTATTGTGTTATCCCCATGAAGTAGCTTGTTTCCTGTGTTGGTGCCTCCTCCTCAAGCAGAGGAGGGGGTAAGAAAGAAAAAGGACATTTCTTTTTCACTGCTATTGCCATATCTCTTGGTGTTCTTCTTTTTTTTTTCAGTGATGAAATATATGCAATTGAATTGAAACTGGAGATCATTTTAATTCGAAACTCTAAACTAGTAATCCTTTTAATTATAATTTGGGATTCCATGCTACCAAACAGAGCCGAATTATTTCCTAATTTGGGGTTTGTACAGTTTCTAAAGATTATTTTCAAGAGATGAAAGGGTCTGCGGATGGCAAATGTCCAATTCTATGAACGCCATAATTATTAACAACTAACTTACTAGTTCATCCATTTTGTTGTGTTCATGTCTATTGTAGTGTGCATTGTGGTGTTTGTCTCTATAAATATCTGTTATGCACATATAATTCTGTTTTGTAGCCTTCGTTTTGTTTGCTTCTGTGTAGATCATTGATATGACCTTTTTCCAATCGCTTGGATTGTTTTATATGCATTTCTTGTTTTGCAGTGGGGTTATGGCATGCCTGGTGGAAGACCTTCACGTGCAGATCTGAGGTACAGGCCATACTAGAGATGAGAGTCGTGGCCTTGAAAGTACGGGCACTGCCATAAGTTCTCTTTGCATATTCGGGAAAGGCGTGCTGAAGTTGCTAATGGAGTTTGCTTGAACTTTATGGACAATTATTGAATGTTGACATTATTGTGGAATTGATGTTGTATGCAACATCTCAACTTGTCTGAACAAAAAATTCAGTAACTTAATTTGACACACAAAATTTGATGTAGTTTTCCATAAGGAGTATGTGGTTTTCCATAAGGGAGCAATGTATGTGAAGTATGTGAATGTGATTTATTAAGTTTAGGTGATGACCAAACCTCCATGTTCACTGCTAATTGGCCCAGATTGTTACTGGCATTATATCTTGTATAATTTGATGCATTTGGTAGTTAATTTGCTACTCTGGCATTATATCTTAATAATTTGATCCATTTGGTACTTAATTTGCTACTCTTCATGCTTGGGTCTTTATTTAGATTGTAGTGGGGTTGGATCAAAGATAAAACATGTTGAGCTTCTGAGAAGTTTATGTTCTTAAAGTTGTGAATTTACTCTCAGGAAACCATTGAACAGTTATCTGAAAATGTGCAAATTGGCACTTGTTTGTTAATTGGATCCCGAAATTTGGAGGTCGAGGTGCCCAATTGTGCAATTATTGTGTGGCTCAAAATCCTCCCTAAATAGGTCTTGCAGCTCTTTCAAAAGTCACCGCTGCTTTGACGCTATCTTCTTTTTTCAACGGATTCCTTTGGAAATGGAAAGGAAAGGTAAATGATAGCGCAAGAGCCCATTCTGTCTGGTCAAGGCAAAATTATCGTAGGAGGAGTAAGCACTGTACAATTTCGCTTGGAATGTAATCCTGTACCAGTTGTATCATTTTGAAAGATTTTGTTAGTTGCGGCCTAGTGCCTTCACTTTACCCAAGGGCACAAAAATACAAGGGTGTACAAGCTTTTGGGTCAACAGTGTCCCAGCTGCTTACGTTAAGGTTTTTATTTATTTATTATAACTATACTCTTACTAAATAATTTTACAAAAATTAATGAAAGATAATAATGGTACTCCTCATCCTTTCTGTTTCCTTCACATCCCCTAAATTGTCAATTTAATTTTCGTTATTTTGTTTAAAAACTCATGAATAAAGTTGTAAATGTAATTTTTCATAGAGTTGAGGAAGAGATCAACATTCGTGGCTTCTCTGCCATGTATCCTACTCTCATGCTTCAAACCTAACTGATGAGTTCAAAATATCACACTCGTCAATGTTAATAGTAAGCATGATATCAACACACGAGCATACATGGAGTCCCACCTGTTTCATTCCAGGGCCAACTCAAGATGTCCTCTGCCGGCCAAACTGGTAGGCCTTAAAAGCATTTTCCTAAACTTAAAAACCATATCAGAAATGCTTATAATATAGGAACTCATTTGCCTAATAACGTTCTTGCCATGAAATCAGAAAAAGAAAAAAACATAGAATGAGACGCCATCATCATACTACCAGCCTGTCTGCCACACGTTCTCATGCGAGTATTTAGGAAAAAAGAAAAAATTATCATGCTTAGTATATTTTCCCCAAGTGATTTACACCAGAATGTAGATTACAATATTACTAAATCTTTAAATACATTATGTGCACCAATCAAGTGGTGTAACTTCGAGCTAGTTGGTCGTATTTCCAGTTACCGAGGAAGCGCCCTATTTTTCTTTTTTTTTTTTTTTTGGTGGCTTGCTATATATCGAATATCCAGACTACTTCAATGTTAAACCAACAGCTGCCTTGACCTTCACATTTCTTCTCAAAAGTTGCTTTATCCCCTTCCAAAAAGCCACCTCCTATTATCATAAATATGATGGTCAAATTAATTGATGCTCCATTTGATGGCTGAACCATAGGCGAACATAATTTAGAGTTTTGAAACTGCTGTTTAATAAAAAAAAAAAAAAAAAAAACCCAAACCTGTCACATAATTCTGTGTGTTGATATCTTTCAACGTCTTTTTTAACATTTAAACAAAGCATAAAGGAAAATTTTATACACTGAAAATGAATTATGATCACACATCAAAATCAGCTAAACAGCATTAACATATTTCAGATATGGAATTCATTATTCTAATGACAGTAGTATGCAGTGAAGTGCACCACCAACCTGATCTATTAAACTAATGTTATGGATGGTAACATAATAATAATTCTTTGCATAATCACAAGCAAAATGTTATGGTTGGTTATGCTATATAATGCAAGGGTGTTGTATTGTGTATGAGGGAGAACAATTGGAAGTTCCATTATTAACGAGATTTTGTATTACGTAACTATTAACACTTGATATATCAGTGATATTGTAGTAGCTACAAGTAATGTAACTGTTAAATATAAGCTAGTCAGCACTATAGATAAATTTTGCAGGTGGTATCTTAAATACATACAGCATGTACTTGATATTCTCCTCATTTAGCATAACAAAGTCAAGCCTTCTGCTTTGTAGATCACCAAAAATAAAGGAAACCAAAACACTAAAAAATTATACAAAGGGTTATAAAATACCAGGTTTTAAGGACGAGCCAGAGGGAGAACATGGAAGTAATTAGAATGCATGGCAGGTGAACCAATTTCTGAGGGAACCTATCTTAACGTACTTCCGGAGGACTAGAACTTTGTCGTAACTCCGACGAATCTGAGGGGAATGATTGTCTGAAACTGAGCTTCTCATCTCTTGGGCTTTCATCTCAGCAATTTTCAGCTTGTTCAAAATCTTATCCATAGATGCCGATCTTTTCTTTTCCAGTTTCATCTGAACCAAAGTTGTAGTTAATGAAGGACACAACATCAAATGGTCACACCTCAAACTATGAGACATTTTTATAATAAATCATGCAAGATATCTACCAAAAAAAAAAAAAAGTTCTAAGTGAAAAATAAAAAAGAAAAAAGCAATTCTTAACCAGTGATCAAGACTTTCTGCTGTGAAAAAATTAGATACACAAGGGATATCTTGGTAAAATTTGACAGTCCATAAAGCAACACACAGAGTTTAGGTAAACCTCAAGTTGCGTAATTGCAGCCTCAGCTTTAGCCTTCTGCAAATTCTCCCATGCAGTGATTTTGGCTTCCTCTCTTTGGAACCTGCACAATTTGTGTAAAGTTCATATACCTAAGATCTGTTATGCATATTCAGTACAAAGTTCAAGATACAGAGATTTGTGATGACCCTGCACACCCTGTTAGTCACAAGGAAATCATCAGTCTTTACCAAAAGGGGTAAATTGATACTAATGAATTTCCTTTCCAACTTAACTACAAGTTTCCTGTTCAGCTCTTTATATTCTTTGCAAAGAATTTCCTTACAGCAAGGGAAGGTGGATAATTCAATTCTCACTTGGTCAACTTGGGGAAGATATGTGAGCTAGGGAGAGATGAAGGTTCAGAAATCATTGAATGTTGCTTTGCTGGGTGAATTGTTATGAGGGTTTGTGAGGAGGAAGAGAGATTGTGGAGGAAATACGTCTAAAGTCTAAACAAACTACAAAATCAATAAGAACATGGAAATGGGTATGAGTTAGATTCTCCTCATGCAAACTTCATTGGAAACTAACTGTGTTAGGCAGATCTTCTTTAGAGTGGTACAAAAATGATTGGTGTGGATCAATTTTTATCAGAGTTGCTTTTCCAAGCATAGCAGATGATAAAGAGGCCTTCCATATGCAGTTATCTTTCTAAATCAGAGCAAATGTTGAAGTGACTGCCACCACTTGGAAGAAACCTTCATTGAGAAAGTTGGCGTGTTAGCATGGTATAACCATGTGAGTTGGAACCAATGGGTAGTGATCTAAGAATATTGTTCATGAAAAAGCTCTGCTGTATTTGGTTAAATTATTTTTTGTCTTTGAGAGATCATGATGAATAAGTTATATATCTTCACAATTTAATGGATAATGTCCTGGTGGATAGAAGGAATTAAAAAGATGGGGCCTAATAATGGCAATGGGTGCCTACTTTGGAGGGTTTTCCCTTTTCCATTGCTATAGTCTAATACAAAATAAAGGAATAAGAGAAATGTTAAGGGTAACTTATCAAAAACCAAAAGAGAAATGTTAAGGGTACACAAGTGAATGATGTAACAGAGACTAGAATTTTTTCTTCTCTCTCGTGACAATTGACTGGAACGATATACATAGCATGACACATTATATTACTAAAAAGAAGGCCACTGTTCAATCTTTGCATGGGGAAGAAAATTGATTTTGCGAAAATACAAATTTGTAACTTAAGTATGAAATATAGTCCAAATGATTTGTATGGGGAAAAAGAAATTCAATCAACTTCTAAGAGCAATAAAAGAGATTCAATGGTTTATGTCATAAAGTCGTTCTTGCAATGGGAGGGTTTCATTTGTAAGGGATGTCTCTTAAGTTATTGATTCTAATGAAACAACAGGGAAAAAAAAAAAATGTAACAAGGTGACAAAAAATAACAACATACTTTGACATGTCCTTTGCTGCCTCCGCAACATTGCTAGATGAAGTTAATTCCTTAACATCTGGTGAGCCATTGTTTTTTAACTGCCATGTCACAGTGGCTCGTTTGTCAACCTGCACATCTCTGACTTCCAATTTTGTAGAATGGTTGTTGTGTGGCTTCACACTGGGTAGGATTGAGGGAGGAGAGGTGGCAAACAATGACCTTCCTTGTGGAGATGAGTGGGTGCTACCCTCGGGGCTCATTTGGGTAGCCATATCCCGTCGCGAAACAACTGGAGAGACCATGGCTTCCGAAGCTTTGGTGCCTTCAAACTTCTCATCTGTACATATAATTCAACAGTGATTAGCCATAATTAGAATGTCTGAAAAATAGAACTTTAACTATCAGGCATTTTACAATAAAAAACATTGCAATAGCCCATGGCATTTTATGTTGTATCTAAAGGAGCTTTCACAATTAAGTTTATGTACAAAGCGCCAAACAACAAAAAATATTTTTTTAATTTACCTATAAAAAGTAAATATTGAATCTTTAAGAGTATGCCTAGACAACGAAATCCCACTTTTTGAAACTTGACAATTGCCTTCTGTATATACGGAATCAACAAAAAGAAATGTTTGAGGGCACAAGATTATCTCAGTTGAAAAAATAATACTATTAACAGATTGAAAAAAATTAACACCGTAACTGTACTATTTTTCTTTTTATTTTCCTTTCACTAGTGGTGCAACAAAATACTGATTCTGGGAAAACAGAACGACTCTAGACAGAAGGGTTGTAACTCCAGCCATCACTAGAATAAATTTATACGTTTAGATACCTGTATCACTTTCCTGAAATTGTTTTGATTTATAAGCAAAAGAAAAGTAGCTGCAAATGAGGTTTGGAATCTTTATTTTGCAGGGGAAACAAGAGTTGCATAATACAGACACGGAACCAACTTTCAGAAAGTGTCGTGGTCAGATTAGATTGGCACATTGCTGATGTATTATTATAATCCATATATACAATTTGTCATATGATTTGCATTTTATGGAGTTCTGACATCACTCTTCTATTACCGACAGATTTATAGACTGTTCTTAGTCAATTCAAATATTCCATTGATTATATCAAGCTGTATTGGTCATTAAGCATAAGCTCCTCCACTAGGATATAAGCCTGATTGATCTTATCCTCACACTTTTAACTCACAGGTTCCAACATATTACATATGGCAGTCCAATTTTAGTTGTATGAGAAGCATAAAGGTGATTCAGCAAATTTGATTCACAATACCAGCTTAATGGCAATCCAAATAACTTGAACGAGGTCAGGGGCATGTGTGAAGTAATGTATTTATGCAGTCATATAGTTGAAATGGGAATGCCATGAAACAATTCAAGCAGTACAGGCATCTTGCGCTCTTGGTGTCACACAAACTACTAATTTTGAGTCCGTTTAGTCGATCTTCAATTGACAAAAGCTTCATTAGTTATGTCAATGCATGTTCATTCAGCAACAGATTTCAGAGGCAGACAAAAAGATTGTGTAAAGAGGCCTGAAAACCATGGGAAAATGATTATACCTTGGGAGCTGGGCAACGAAGACTCGCTTAACAAATCAGACCATCCTAATAGACTAGCTGTTCGTGCCATATTGCTGTTGGTGTGCCCTGGATTAGGGTGCAATTTATTACCACCACCGTATTGAATGGATAGACCATCTGTTAACAGTACTCCAGTTGTAAATGGTGAGCTCCTCACACTCCCTCCTTGCAGCACCGGCACAGTGGGCGAGTGATTTGAGTAGTACACAGTCCCTGGAACCCCAAGTGGACCGCTCTTCGACTTGGGTCGTCTCTGAGGTTGCACAAGCAAAGTCTTGCTAACACTGGATTGAGAAATTGGGCTGGTAATCCACCTCTCGGCATCGTCCCATTTCGAAGGCAAAGTCCTTCCGCTATTGAAAGGCATCAAGGCTGCAGCACCAATATGCCGCCGGCCACTGTTTGTGGGCGGTACTCGTTCTGAACACCATCCCTTTTGAATTCCCCCTACATTGCCATCCTGGTAATCTGGTGTTGCCGGGCTTGTATGTGTTCCTGAATTGTGGGTTAACAAAGAATTTTTCTTCATCCCTCTCAATTGCTGCCAAGAGTCTGTGGCATTGCTCTCTCGATTGCTCAAATCTAGCAAAGAGGATTGTTGCGTGTAAAAGTTAGGTTATACAAGGGGGATTTTGAAAGAAAGCAAATTTTGACTGACCCAACAGTTTGATTATTGTCTTCTATCTATAAAATTGAAGAAGCCAAGTACCCAAATTTGAAATATTCTTGTTTTCAATTCACTAACCCTAATATAGCTTTTGCATCACCTCTTTAACCATAGACATACATTACATATACATATACATACACACACACACACACACACATATATATATATATATTCTCTGAATTATTCTTGGTGTGACCAATTAGCTGTAATCTAGAAGTGCGTGGATCTGGAGTGATTGTGGACCATTCAGAAATAGACGGATTTTCTCAGTGATTGCCATTCGGAGCTTTAAAAGCACCGCCACCATTTTGGATGCTAGAAAAAATCCAATCCATCCTTGTCAGACAGATTGATAATTATTTATATTCCAGAATCTAAGCATCCCACTTGAAACATCTTTAAAAATGAACAAAAAATCACGTGTGTGTCTATGTGTTTGTTCGTTTTTGTCTATGAATATATATATATATATACGCATTAGCTTTCAGGAAAGTACCTCTGGATCGGTCAAGAACCTGAGCTTGGTGATCAGCGTTTCACACTTCAACTTGCCTTTGTACTAACCGGAAGCTACACACAAATATATATAATGTGTAACATATAAGTATTAGCCAAGCAAGAAAGATCAATGCTGTTTAGGGTACAGAATATATATATATATATAATGTGAGGAAGCTTCCTGTACCTATGGTGTTTGAAGAAATGCATGAATGAGGACTGAGATTTTGGGTTTGGTGGAAAAATTAACAATTATAGAGAAGGCCAAGGTGGCATTTTTTGTTTTGTTTGAGACAGTAGTCAAAAAGTGCATGTGACATTCCTTCCATGTGTGAAAATTATTTTTAGTGGACAAACGATCCCAAGCCCCCCATTAATATTTAAATTTTCAAAATGAGGCTATATTATTATAATATCATTATTCATAATATCATTCTTCACATGCATGAAATAGTAAATGCATTTGATTTTCGGATCACTAATCATTACTCTTTGAGCCCTTATTTTCATAAGCTACAAAAAGATTGACTGCTCCTTATGGGTTGGTTTTGATTGTGCAGAACGGGGGTCTACTTTTGACAAGAATTTAAGAGAGTGAAAGAATTATACACAAACACAAAAGGTGACGTATGTGGTTGGGCACAAAGGATTTATCCAACAACATGATTAAAGGGTTTACATTTGTAAGGGAGTACTATAACTTTTCCTCCTTTCTCAAACAATTGTCTTCCTTTACAAGGGTTTGGGAGTCTCCACTTTCCTTCGCTTTCCTCTTTTGTTGGCTTGTTTGCACTCACCTTTCTTTCATAATCCTTAATATTATTCTTTTTGTTACTTATCGTGGAAAAATGATCACAAACAAATATATATATATATATTTGCTAAGTATGTGTGTATATATATATATAAATGCATTTGACAAAGATAACATATAATTTTTATTAAAAAAAAAAATAACAAAAGAGAGATACATGGACCTTTAAAGCGAATATAGCATAAAACAAGAAAATCTTTCACAAGAAACATGGTTACCTTGAATCCATAAGGAATGATAATTAGAATCCACAAATTATAAGAAAATTTGTAAAGAATTCTGAAATATTATTGATAAAAGATTGAATTTTGCTCTTGCATTACATCGTATATTTATAATAAAGAAAAACCCTAATACAAAAAAGGAAACTAATTGCTTTAGTAAATTAAAAATACAAAAAAAAATTAATATAAGAAAATTACCTAAAACTAAAAACTCTCTAAAAATATAAAATAAAAATTAATAAATAAACCTAATTTAAAAAAAATACTAAAATCTGTTCTACATCATGTAAAATTAAGAATGCCTTTTACAACAACAAATGGATCTTAAGATTAAGCCAACTTTTCAACGGTTAATCACTATGTCATTAATTTAACTGGCATAACCTTGAGGGGTTCAAACTAATCCTAGTAATAATTTGAACCTTGTGTGATAGATTATGTTACCAAGGTAAAAAAGTCAATTTGTTAGGGCGAAACCAGGTCATTTTTCAAGAACTCTAACTAAAAAAAGGCCGTATACTACAACAAATGGAAATTGAAACTCAAAACCGGGGATAGCCAGTAGGCCCAGTACGATTAATTCCCTTGAATGAATCATGGAATAATAAATAGTTTTAGGAATTTTTTTAGTGCTATAGTTGGAGGAAATGTATTGACACACATAAAACAGTATGCAGCTTATAAAAAAATAAGAACTGATTTCATGGATAATCCAGAAAGAACGAAAAAATAAAGTAAAAACGCGACATATAATACCCAAGATAAATTCAAATAACAAAATATATTTTCCCAAAAGGAACAAATAAAAATATACTTACAATCTTCTTTATTTTTTTGAAAAGGTAATATATTTACAATCTTGTGAAATTTATGTTTCATTTGGTGGTTGGTAGAAAGAAAGAAAATTGGATGGAAGGGAGAGAAGAAAATTGAGTGATGTCATTCCCTCTAAATGAAAGAGAAAAAAATATGATAATACCTTATTTTGTTATTATGAGATAAGAAAATAGAAAGTGTTAATTATAGAAAAAGTTTTTTAATTTAAAAAGGGAGCTGATATTGGCCTCTGCTACCACTATTATCATGGGGCCCTCTATTCCTTCTCTATTCTAAGATGAAATTACAAAAGAGTCCATAAAATATATAATATTTGGTTGTTATAATTTTTAATATCATAATTGTTTTTCTCTCTTAAAATTAGAATACTTAGCTAAATTCCTTCAAATTCTCATTCACGTTACCTTCCTTCATCTCTTCAAACACAAAAATGAAAGATTTTCCTAATGAAGACAAGGAAATCTCATTATAGTATATATTTTATTTATTTATTTATTTTGTTCTACTTCCTTCCTTATAATATACAGTATATTTTGAGCTGGTTCTAAACACAGCTTGTATTATTGTTGAATTAGACCAATCTAGAACATCCTTACAAATACTGGATCAATCTATCAATATTTACAATAAAACTAAATCTTATCCATGGATTTTATGGGAAAATTAATAGATACAATCCCTGATGAGACCGGAAAAATTCTGTAAATGTCCATTCTTCTATACTTCCTTAAAAAAGGTGTTCAATCAATAGTTCAATTCTTTCTGGTCCATTTTTTTCTTTGCTGGCCCTTTTTCTTTGTGAGCATGGGTCTGGGCTACATTACAGAATCCGAGTGGAAACATTATCAAGACTTTTCAATGTTTGGAGAACTTCCTTACAAGGAAATTGAAAATCAAAGATCGGGAAAGAAATTATTGTTAAATAAAAATGAAAATTTTTTAAGATTCGATATAAAAGGTATTAAATTAGAATAAGAAGTATTCTAGTTGGAAACAAAAAATTTTTTTAAATGATTAAAATTTATCACATTATAAATTTTTTTTTTAAAAAAAACAATTAATTGAATTGAAGATCAAAATATATGTTAAAACATCAAAATAAAAATCTGAAGTTTTTTTTTTTAAAAAAAGTGATGAATCTTAAGAGTTCAAGATCCAATAGAACTTGAGGTAAGACTCAAATGAATTGAATTGGAATAGTTTTCACTTTATATAATAAAATTAAATATTGAGTAGGATATAATTTAATTTAAAGAAGAACAAAAAAAAAAAAGAAAAAAAAAAAAGAAAAAGGATGGAGCGCTTTAGGATAATAGTTGAGTGTTGTAATGAGTGGACGCGGACGCTTACTCATTTACCCAACACCCTTGTTGCAGTCGGGCCATCCTGCCTACTCAGAGTGACTTACCCTGATGCCTTCCGGACAAGGCGCTTAGTATAGCACCGGATCAAGGACTGGGTATGACTCTGATACCAACTGTAATGGGTGAGCGCTTACCTGTTTACCCAAAAATTTTATCTATTTACTCAAAAATTTAAGTTGTTGGGCAATATTGCATACCCACTCGTTAATACACTATCACTTTCTCATCCGGATCCGACGTGGGACAAATGACCTTGGTAACAAGTGTCAATATCAGCTCCCTCTAAAAACCTTTTATACATCCTTGTCTTTTTTCCTTCCCCATCCATGTTTTGAGAAATAAAAATTTGTAAGGAAGAAATGATGACTCGTCCATCCTATTTTCTTTCTTCTTACATCATTTCTTACAAAGGAAGAAAGTTTGATTTTTCCATCATATCTTTCCTCCACCATCTTTTTTCATTCCTTACCAAAAGGAGCATTAAACTCATGACAGGTGTAGAGTTAAAGACAGGTGTAGAGTTAAAGAGATTTTGTTGAAAACGGAACATACAAAACTAAAACTTTGAGTGAAATTTTGAGTAGGTCTCGCTAAGAATTTCTTGCGGATCTATAGACGAACGCGTTCATCTCCTTACTTTCTCAAATCTGTTTCCGGATGAATGAGAAATTAGTATCAAAATAAAATGTTTGATAAGCTTAAACGAGCATGTAAAATGTGGGAAGTGCTTGTTCCATATTGAAAATAAAGTGAAACCAATTGGAGTATATATATAGCCCAAGTTTGGAATTTGAGTTTGGGCCCAAGAGTACCCAAGTTTTTAAGAGGGGAAGAACTAGGCAAGCTTGGGTCCAAACCATTTACCACACATGTGCCGCCCGGTCCGGGCTTGGGCTTGGTTGTAAAATTTGATTAATTTTTTATTAAATGGAATGTTGAACTGGGCCTTGGCGTTTGGGTTTAATTTATTTTTGGGCTGGCTTACTCCGGTGGGTTTCACTATTTTAAATTGGGTTGGGCTTACGAATGATTATGTCTAGTCTAAACCAGTGCATCCAAGAGTTGCACCTGCTGTGAACCAATGCACCCCATTTGAATAGGTGCTTTTGGTGATGGTTCAGGCTGAACAATTGTGTCCCGTGGCTGTTCGGGTCAACTGAAAAGACACTTGCATTCCTATAAATACCCCCCTCGAGTCATTTGCAAATCACACCAAATAAATCTTTTTCTCTAATTCTGATTTTTCCTCTTTTTTTTTTTTCTTCTTCCTTATTTGCATACACATAGTGTTAGAGTGTGATTTTGAGTCTGATTCAGAGAGAGAGTACTTCACCGAGCTCGTTCGCCCATTTCTCTGGTTTGCAATGTTGCTTCTGAAGAAAGAAAGGTCATTGAGAGAGACGTTACAGAGTCCATCAATATCACAGCGAAACGAATCTGTCTTTAAGGACATATAATTAAATTCTAGCATCGGCCTATTATCAGGTTCCTTTATTTATATAGTTTGATTTTATTATTATACTAATATAAATATATTTTATTTAATATAATATATATTATTAGAAAATTATATGTATATTATTGTTTTATAATAATTATATATATATATATATATATATATATATATATATATATATATATTATTTATAATATTTAAATAGTAATATTATAGTAGATGCATATATACACATTTTTAGAGAACAAAATTTTAAAGAGCTTTTGAAAAACTGCTATCAGTTAGTACTACTGAAGAGATTTATTAAAGTGAGCAAATTTGCCAAAGCTACTACAAGTTACAAACCTGAATATTTCACAAAATTTGAGGAAAATCCTGGGTGAAATAGTTATAAATTTCTCATCATTATACCAAAATAGAGTCATTAATATGGAAGATAATAATACTCTTTCTAGTTTTCCCAAGGTGGACCTGTTCTTTTTTGAAATTATTTTTATACTAATACTACGTATTACGCAATAAAATAAAATAAAAAAGTAGTGTTGAAGAAAAAATTATTAGTTTCAACATCTAATGTAACCACAAATAGTACTGAGTAATGATAGCATTAGACATATTAATTCAACTTGTGCAAGGAAAAATAGTGAAATCCATCAAACTATTAGACATCACTAGTCAATTTGTCATTAGAATTTCTGAAACTACTATAATCGTGGTTTTTATTTTATTTTTTTATTATTATTATTATTATTATTATTATTATTATTAGAGATTGTTTATATGAATCTTAATTTTTTTTTTTTATTCCAATATATTCCACGTCAATTCTTAGGAAAAACTATAATATATGTCTTTTTTTATTTAGAAAGGGTTTTGGGAAAATGATTAAAAGGAATACTGTCTCACCTTAGACACCATTTAAAGTAATTTAGACACTTATATACCGTATAACTGTACAACTATATATACAACCACCAAATTGAAGGTTGAGTATTATAATTTCCAGAATAACTGTATAACAAGTGTGTGCGCGCTTTACCTACTAAATATATATATATATATATATTGTACAACTATACAAAAGTTACACTATTAATGCAAATCTCAACTTCCAAGCAAAGCCTATTTAATCTTCACTGGAAAATGATTTGAATTCTCTCCAAGTTTTAACCACTATGTTTGGTGTATGGACAATTCAATCCAAAGAAAAATAATAATGTGATGTTTTTTTTTATTGTCAAATTTAGGCTTGAAGATAAAAGATTGAAGAGGATCCATGTGCAAAGGAAAATGATGATATATGTAATGATTGTCAAAAACAACAGATTCAATTGATAGTGTGATATGAAAGGCTTTTATTTTGTAAGGACCAATAATACACAAGTCTAGAGAATTCACTGGAAGCTTGGGAAGCTTGGGACGAAGGTTTTGTGCCTTTTCCCAAACACTCTGATGAGTTTTGTGGCTTAAATAGCATTTTCCATTTTATAATTAGATTTTGAACAAAAATCTATTTGTTGTGTGTAAATTTGGACAAGCATCTATTCACTGTCTAGTTACTTACAACCCTTAAAACCTAGCTAATGTCGTAAAAGTATGGTATGATTAGGGCTGAAGTTTCGGCACGAGCAAGCGTGTGTGCTGCATAGGTCAATAGTGCACATACTTGTGCTTTGCAGCAGACGATACATCATTGCAGTGGATCCGGGATATTGAGTATTGAATATATTTACCTGTTAAAAAAATAAATAAATAATAGGATAAATTGCATTGACACCCATGAAATTTTGGTCAATATCACTTAGATGCATGTTAATGATTTTTTTTGGCAATGACACCTCATGTGATTTTAAATGTGATATTTGTCCCTGATTGTTTAATTCAACTAATTTACAAAATATTAGCCTTGTTAATTAATAAAACTACCATCATCATTAAGCCTTTTTCTCTACCTTAATCTTTAACTTCTTCTTTTTTTATTTTTTTTTTTTTTCATTTTAATACCTAGCCGTCAACCCTCCTTCTCTCTCTTCCCAATCTCGGATATGGCTTTTTTTTTTTTCTTTCCTATTGTGGTGGGCCATGACTTTTTTTTTTTTTTTTTTTTTTCCTACCCTGGTGGTGGTTGGTGTGGTGGTTATGGTGGTGTCTAAGTTATCAGGGTATTTCAAATTTTTTATTTTTATTTCTTCTATTGTGGTGGTTCTAGTAACGTCTGGGTGTGTTGGTAGTGATGTTGTCTTGGTGTGGTGGTTGTTCTTGTGACGTTTGGGACATATAAGTATGGGTTGGTCATGACTGTTTTCAATTTTTTTTTTTTTTTTTTCCTTTTTCTTCCTTTAAGGTGTGGTGGTGGTAGTTATAGTGGTATACGTTATCTAGCTATTTTTTAAAAAAATTACTACGTATTTTTTATTTTTTTTATTTATGTTGTATCTATTTGAATAGAAGAGATGGAGACGTTAGTTTGGTCCATTAAATTTAGTTAGAAGTTTAAATTTGCAATTTTATGATTTAAATGGTGCTGTCGACAAGTCAAAGGGTTAAAAAGTAATTTCATACGATTTCAGAGGTCGAAAGGGGTGTCAATGCATATTTTTTAAATCTTAAGAGTGTTAATGTAATAAAAACTATTGACCATTCGCTGAGTGGCGTTGATCAAAATCTCAGATATATTGACACCTAAAAAATAAATAGTAAAGTATTAAGTTTTGCATTGGGCTGGTAGTAGGTGGGCCCTGCTGCTGCTCCATAACTTTGTGTACTCCATTTGGACTTTCGTATTTGTTTGGGTGCTTTGAAATCTGACTGTTCCTTTGGATCCTGTCCAAAAAACTGACAGAGCATTGTTGCATACATAGAGCTAGCTACCAGGACCATGAGGCCTTCTATGAAAGATTAGATGTAATCGAGGCATAACCATTGTAACACAAGAGTGAAACAAGTCACAAAATTGATTGACCAAGGCAATCTCAACCGTACACAATAAATGATCAAGTGAATTTATTGATTAAAGTCAACATTACCTGTTACAACATTTGAAACACGTGGAGTCAATTGAACCATAAGGCAATTCGAATTGCTTTGACATTGTGATATAAATGCTCTTTGCAGTTTTGTCACCGTAATAATCATTTTTTCACCTTCCTCTAAGTCGTTATAATGTATTGTTATGGAGAAAGTATAAAAGAATTGTTTTCACTTGAACTCTAATGTGATTATTTGACTAGTTCGATTTGTTTAACTTTAAAAAAAGAAATAAATTGAATTGGTTCACAAATGATTCGACGTACTACAACACTCTCCTATAAATTCAAGGATGTTTCCCTTTCGCGTCTAAAACCGAGGAAACACATCACCACCGAGAAAACAACACCACCTCATTGTTCTGTCCCTCGCGCCCACACGGCGATAAGGTTTGTGTCAGCTAGGTCTTCCTTTCGATACCTTCCCTCCAAATCTTGTTTTAGTTTTCCAATTTCCAAGGAATATAATAAAATCTCTCTCAAAAGAAGAGACCCTTTCATACATTTTCCCTCTTCATTTGCTATTTTCCCGTGTAACCCCAAATCAGTCTTTTTCCCTCGTAGAAAAGAGTTCATTGGGTGGGAAAAGCAACTAATTTTCCTTTCAGCCAAACACAACCCCTTACTAAAAGGCAATCATGTTATCTTCTGCCCTGCAGACGAAAACGACTCAATTGACGTGAATGCTTCTCCTCTTGAAAGTGATGTTACTTAGGATTAGTGATCCCACACCATCGCTAATGTTTTTATTTGTCTCAATCTCAGGTTCCAATATGGGACCAAATAATTACATCATCTACTATTCCGAAAAAAAATATATATATATATATATATATATTTAAAAATAAGAAAGAAAAAATTGCTCACGTGCGCTTCTGATAAGAAACCTGTTACAGTTCAGGCAGAAGATATTCCTGAGAAAAGAAAAAAAAAAAAAACCAACATATTTTATAAAAATAATATTTGTATTTCAATGATTTATACAATTCTGAAACCTTTATACGCTTTCTTTCGTAGTACAACCAAAATAAACTCGTTTCCTAACTTCTTTACTCATTTTTTTTTACCCAAAAGAGTAATAAAAAAATCCCAAGGATACGAGATTTTTTTTTAAAAGAAAAAAGAAAAAGAAAAGAATCTGGATGATCCGGTAAGTGGTTATCAAATAAAGGGTCGGTTTATCATGAAAGGGAAACCGACCCGGCGAGTTTACCAATTCTTTCCACCAGCTCCGGCGACAACTTGGCTTGTTTCCTCTCCTTCTCCAGTCGGAAATTAAAACCCAAAGCATCGGACACTTCCTCGGTGCTCCACCCGGATTTCCGGAGCGAATCTGATAACCGGTCAGCTTTCAGAAGCAGAGCGTCGAGAACCGCTTCATTGTCTAACAAGACCATCTCGTCTTCGAAGAACCCGGATGCTGACACGTGTACGATCTCGGTAACGTCCGATTCCTCCCATCCGCCATCTCTAAGAACTGACCCGATCTGTTGCATGTATTCTTCAACCCAATTCGGCATTTCGGACCTGGGTATGTCGAAGAACCGTTCCGGCGACGAACACGAAGAAGACGAAGAGTTTGAGTTTCTCCGCCGCCGCTCCACGGCGGCGTCGCTCCAGAACTCAACCCATCTCGGCTTTCGTCCTACGGGTGCAATTTCCAGGCTTCTTCTGGACAAATTCGACGAAGACCCAGCCGATTTTCCACTGACGGATCGTTGTAGAGAGAGAATATGAGAGTCTGTACCTTGAAACAATGAAGATTCACGGTCGAAGAAGTCGGAGAGATCGAATCCACAGCAAAATATTCGGTTCTCGTCGACGAAGAAGATAGGGTTTCCGGCCAAGCATGGATTGCAGGGAATGTAGCAATGATTGAAGATGGGTATCAACAGAGGCGCTCTTTTGAGAGCGTTTCTTGCAAATTTGAGGGACTTTTCGGGGTCGGATGGTTTCGGGCCCCATGACTTGGACCAGAGAGCGTTGCGCGCGATGTGGAAGGAGATGGCGGCGATGGGGAGGTCGAGGGAGGCGCGGAGCTGGAACCGGGCGGAGCCAGTGGAGCGCCAGTCGGGGAATCCGGGTCCAACGGGCAAGCCGGCGGAGAGCAGGGCTTTGAGGTCCGGAGGGAATGCGAAGCCGAATTCAGCCTCGGCTCTAGCAAACTCGGAGTCGGACAAACCGGGTTGGACTTGGATTCCGGAGTTTTTGAGGTGGGTGATGACTTCATCGGTGAGTGAAGTGAAAGTGGTGAGGCTGCTACGGAAGGGAAGTGGCGTGGATGGCTGTGGTGCGGCGGCGGCTCGGGCGGAGAGGCGGCGTAGACCAGCTATGTGGGCCGGGTTCAGTCCGATCATTCTCCGGTCGACGTCAACCATTGTGCTAGTACTCGCCGGAGATTGGAAGCTGAAAAATATCTTGGTTGTTTGGAGAGAGAGTGGAAGAGCGTCCAAACACAGTCCTGGTTATAATAGGGTTTTTTGTTTTTTTCTTTTTGGGTAAAAGTTACTAATGGAGATTGGGAAAAGGAAAGAGGAATTTCGGCTACCAAAGAAAGAAAAAGGCCTCCTCCTATTTATAGGAGCTGGTATTCTTAGTGGACCCATTTAAGAAAAAGAGTTCATGGTAAGGCTTTTGTGCAAATTGTAATGCTGGCATAAGTTACTATTTCTCAAGCTTTTTTTCTTTCTTTCTTTTGTAATATTTTATTACATTTGTTATCATAGTTTATCTTATTACAACATCCTTATAAGTTCACTTTTCTTAATCACATAATATGGATTAAACTAGATCAACAATTTATCGTTCTTAAAATGTTTATCTCAAAATTACTATAAAACTCTTGCAATAAAAATTGATGTTTGTAGTAAAAACTAATCCGGACTAGTAGAATCTTCTCTTTGTTAGTTCTCAGTGAAATATATTAATATCTATCAATTACAATGACAATTCTTTGTCACAATCACTCTAACTAAATTTTCTTAAAAAAAAAAAACATGTCTACACAATTAAAATATATCCACAATATGCATAAGTTTACACACACTCTTCATTTTGGCTAAAGGGATGTGAAACAACCCCTCATCTTCAAATCCAAATGAGCTTGTGCATGCTCTTTCATTTTTTGTTAAAAATTGACTCTGAAACTATTCAGCACGACCCACCTCATACCGTATAAATTTGATTAGCTTTACACAATATCCTGCACCCATTTTTCTTTAAGTGCGTCTAGAGAGTGAAGGGGGTATTCACAGCGCCAACAATGGCTCGCGTCAAGCTGTGGGAGGTCACACTCATACTCTGCAACCATGAAAAGGCCCACTTAATTAATTTACAAAATTTGTACATCACTCCTCTGTACCATAGTTGTGGCCATGTAGGCAGAGTCAAACAGATATATGCCAACACCTATTTTATTGTAATAACATGCTTGTCCTGTGCATCTGGACCTAACTCTCGGTACCCTCCACTTTGTAACACATTTCATTGTTCAATAAAATGAATTAATTAACCATGTCTTTTGAGGTTTCAATGTGTCTGGTCTTTTACAAGATTTGGTATGTTAAATCAAATACGAACATGGCTGAGCTTGTGAAGCAATATCGCAGCCTAAATTAATGTGAAAGCCACACTTGTATGACTTTATTATGATGCAATCACATACTGTTGTGAAATCAGGTTTGATAACTTAGTTCCCAACATCATCTCTACTCTCAGAATCGTCAGATGTGAATTCATAACTCAGCATTCAAAAGAGTAGTTGAAAAAGTCAAAGTAAATCCACTAGAGCTTCCATTGGTATCACACACAGTCACACACACACACACACATATATATGTATGGATATAGCGTGTGTCCATATCATGTGAGTATGAGATCACAGCAGGCAAGAGCCGGCAGTTATACATCACCGACCTTGAGATATTATCTGCTGGCACTTGATGATCACGACTCATATGAGTCGAGCCGTGGACCTACTGGTGGTGTTTTTTATTATGATTATTAATGGAGCACTGTCTTTCATCATCTCTGACTGCATCAATCACATTGTCTAATAAAAATGTTGTTTGACATTGCATTTTGTACGTAATATCTATGTAGAAATAACCGGTTTGTTATTTAATCCAACCACATGATCGTGACACCGACCACCTCAAGAACAATCATATCTCAAATTTGTTCTTAAATTCATATGAAGTGGGGCGATATTTATTTCATTGACTATATCGGAAGGCCGGGGCATCAAATACATTCTTTGGCCAATGAATTTATTTATTGTTTTACCCCAAAAACATATGTGTGTGTGTGTGTGTGAGAGAGGAGAAAATTAATAATATATATGACATGGAAAATTATTTGATGGCTAAAATGCTAATTAAGAGTTAGGTCAATTATTTGATTGTACTAAAAATCTTGTGGTTTAGTGTTACTTAACACTCACATTCCAATACATAATGTCCGTATCAAATCTTTACAATTATAAAAAATTTAATTTTTTTTAAGGTAGCAAACAATTAAGATCTTGTAATTTAGTGTTACTTAACACTTACATTCTAATACATAATGTCCGTATCAAATCTTTAAAATTATAAAAAAATTAATTTTTTTAAGGGAATAAACAATTAATGCATTACTTTCCTTTAAAATTATAATAACTTGCGAAATCATTTGCCGTAGTTGTCTTGTTTGGAAGTGACTTGAAAAAAAACAAACACACACACACACACAGAAGGTGGATGATGGACCAAGTAGCATGGTCATTGATCACTGCTCACATTTGAGAGGTACAAAGGCCTAGAAAATGTCAAAAGTACGGTTGTGCAAATGTTAAAATCATATGGGGCAAACTCCATTGAATAAAATTGGAAATGCCACCAGAGCCTGTACTACATAGGCAAGATGGGGTCCCTATATAATATACACACACACACATATGTATATATATATAAAACTATAGGACATGAAAATTACCAAATAGATCACAGGAGTGATATATGTATTATGTTGGCTTTGTTTTAATATGGCTTCAGAAGACTTTTTTTTTTTTTTAAAAAAAATTTATTTATTATTTTTTTAATGACTTTATGTGGTGTGTGGATAGGGTTGATTCTTGGTCTATTCTGGAATTACTTAAAAGCGCGCACACAAAGAAAAACAAAACACGAACGTTCACGTTTTCACTCCATCAAAATTATATCATGGAATGGTATATCATTGCTCGAGTTTATAAGATTTCTAATATCTAAACTTCTCAGGCAACAATTTGATGTCACGAAAACACTTCATCACCCACCATTTCTTTTACATTTGGACCAGAAAATCTGTACCATTACTTTCCGAAGTAAAATGTAGCACACATTGTGGTTGGAACTAAGACTATGACTTCACTGTCATAATTTTTTTATTGTGAAAAATAACTGTCACAATACTTTTGGAAAGACTTGAATTATTTACCTTTTACTTTAATAAAAAAGTATGAGTCGTTGACCATGATTTGTTCGGACTATAATTTAAACACTAATATTATCATTTCAAGGTAACAAACACATGTCTAGAATTATTCCTCCACTTCTTTCAGTCTCCTCATATTAGATTAATAAAATGAATTTAGATGGTGCTAAATTAATGGACACTACTTGAATTAATTGAACTCATGAATTAATCATGATAATGATTGTCACTGTGTGTATGCTTGCCTGTCTCTGAGCAGATTAATGAAGTTAAATATATAGATATGGCGATAAAATATAAAGGGCACGAAATAAATAAATAAAAATAAAGTACAAACCTTTTACATCAAAATTGGAATGATTATGAATTTGTGAGGGAGGAGCTGTGACAAATTTAGCATTGGTGAACAGTGATTTAGCGATAATAAAAAATGATAAAAAAGTGAGATGAGAAGGCATGCTTAAAAGAATCAAAATGATTTTGTAGGGTAGAGATCAATTAACAAACCAACCATGTAATCATCTTATTTTAGGCACCCTTAGCCTGACAAATAGCTTTAAGGAGTCTGTAGATACACCATCCCATGTGCTCTAGCAACCTTCTAAAAATTAAACAAATATATATATATATATATATATATATATATATATATATATTGTGAGCTAGGTACGTGGGAATATTGGGCTGTTAAAGGCTACCTAACACAGCTGATTGAGAAAGAAATTTATTGGGATTCATACTTAATTTATTGTTTGTAATCAAATAAAAATATTTAATAACTTTAGCTAAAGACACTAGAGAAGCTAGGTATAATTATTGGTAGGTTATTGTATCAAGGTACATTCACATTATAGAATTGTTGTTAATTTGAGATAGTGAGACAATGAATGGATAATGCTTGTCTAGTACAAATATTGGCAAGCGAGATTGATTTGAATCGTGAAAAAAAATAAATAAATAAAAGAAAAGAAAAGAAAAGAAGAAGAAGCTTTATTTGAATCAGAAATGTTATTACTAAAATGGCTCACCAAAGGCTGCATCTTAGGCAAGTTGGAGGTGCAGTTCGAGCTCATAATTAGGGATGCACAAAAAATTGTTGGATTTGGTAGGAATCGAATCGTCGCTTCAGTTTAATTTTTTTACATTTCGATTTCGATTTCAAAATAAGAAAGTGTTAGTTTACTGTTTCGGTTCCAGGTCAATTATAACCAAACTGAATCGATATATATATATATTACCATATTAATAAACAGTAATATAACATTGATAAAATTATACAAAAATATGATTTTTAGATTATAGACAAAGATAAGGCTATTGTCAAATGGTTTTAACTTCTAAACTTTTATATTTATTTCAAAAAATCAGAATAATAGCTCATTTGTTTTTATATTACAAATACATTTTATTTTTTGGTTGAGAGGTTTATTATTACCCATGTGTTGTATAAGTTCATGTGGTTGGTAGTGAGTTACTGAGTTTTTGTTTTTGGGAAGAAAAAAAAAAAAAAAATGATTTCGAACCAAATCGAATGATTAGGTTCCGATTTATTCTGATTAGGTAGTGAACTAAACTATGTGCATCTTTAATCATAATTACTCAATTCGAGTTTAATGCATTTTTTTTTAAACTCGGGTTTGCAACTCAAACTGAGATTTCGAATTAGAAAGTAAGGTTAACTCAAGTTACCTATATGGCCAATTTTCACAGTCAAAATTTAATATAATATTGAGTTAATTTCATAATAAATTACTTCTAAGCACAAAATTTTTAAAAACTTAATACAAATTTTTAATAAATTACAAATAAATCCTTAGTAAATTAATTCTTCAAAGTGTTAATATACAATAAATTTAGATTTAAATAAAAAAAAGTTGAAAAAAAAAGGCGATCATATTTTTAAAAAATGACAATACTTAGGTTCTCACCAATGAGAATGTATATTATCTTGACCGTTGATGTGAACTAAATAACAAATGAACATATTCTATTTTAATTATCAAATCAGAAATGATAATCAATAAATAAATATGTATCCCATTATCTCTGATTTGGTAATTAAAGAGAGCATGCTGGTGAGGACCTAAATATTGTCCAATAAATAATATATGTGTGAAAAATAATATTAGAATTTGAGTTTGAATTCGGATTGAGCTTAGACTGTGAGCATCTCAATCCAAACCCAATCCTAATTCGAGTTGAGAATTTTTAATTCAGGCCCAACTCTAATT